AATGTTTAAACAGGGCAATAAAATTTCTAGCCAAGCACATAAATATGAATATGAGGGCGAGGAATGAGTTTGTAATAATGATAAGAGATAAAAATTTTTTATAAATCCAAGTGGAGGTGGGAAGTACAATGCCTGCACTTTAAAGGAGGGGCATCTAAACTGTTGTATCTGAGTGCTTCTGCAAAGACAGTGATTTTGTAAGAATGATGGTGAAAGTGTTCAACAATGATGAAAGTTTTTACTTTCTTTTTGGGTCACCCTGCCTCGGAGGGAAACAGCCGTGTTAAAAAAATAAGTAAATAAATAAATCCAAATGAAAAGAATGTCAGAATTACAGTAAATACCTGATATAACAGATTAATGGGAAGGGGGGAGTGTCAGTCATATCAAAATGATGTTTAAATTAGCAAAAAGTGTACTAAAGTATGGTACTGTATACATACTTAATATAGTACTGCACACACAATTTACAGATGTACTGCAATAAACATTGAAAATAAAGTTGTGCTAAAAGTATAATATAACCAGTAATTTTGCCTATACAGTGAACCCTCGGTTAAAGGACATAAGTGCAACTAATGTGACATTTTATTGTGGCAATGCTTCGCTCTCCAGGAGCTTTGTCAAGAAAGCGAAACATTGCCACAATAAAATGTCACATTAGTTGTACTTGTGTCCTTTTACTTTACATATTGTCGGCAATTCTACCTACATATGTAGGTAGAACCCTCGGTTATCGGCCGTTCTGCTTATTGGACAGTTTTTTGGCTTCGGTTATCGACTGTGTTGGATGCTTATCGGCCAGCGACACTAGTGTGTTCCTGAGTCAGTGTAGCTGTGTCGCTGGCCGAGTGAGGAAACTTCTGCTCATTCATCCAAACATTTCGCTATAAATCTTTGTTATTAAGTGCAACTGCGAAATAAGTAAGCATGGCCCCAAAGAAAGTTCCAAGTAAAGTTCCTGTGGTAAAGAAAGTGAGAAACACAATGGAATTTAAGAGAGAAGGGATTGAAAAATTTTAGAGTGGTATGTGAGTGTTGAAACTTAGCAGGACGTATGGGAAAAACAAATCTACCATCACTTCCGTCCTTGTAAAGAACAAATCAAGGAAGCTGATGTTGCGAAAGAAGTAAATGTGATAATGAAACAAAGGTCACCAATAATGGAAGATATGGAAAAGTGATTATTGTTGTGGATCAGGGAAAAACAATTAGCAGGAGATAGTGTTGTGGAGTCAGTGATTCATGAGAAGGCAAAGCAGTTGTATGCAGATCTTGTAAATAAAATGCCTGGAACAAGTGCTGCTGTTAGTGAATTTAGAGTCAGCAAAGGCTGGTTTGAGAGATTTAAGAAGTGCAGTGGTATACACAGTGTGGTAAGGCATGGAGAGGCTGTAAGTTCTGACAAATGTGTGACTGAAAAATTTGTGCAAGATTTCAAGGGGTATGTAGAGGCTAAAGGAATCCTTCCCCAACATGTGTTCAATTGTGACGAAACAGGCCTGTTTTGGAAGAAAATGCCAAAGAGGACCTACATTATGCAGGAGGAAAAGGCCCTGCCTGGACACAAGCCTATGAAAGACAGGCTTATTTTTTTGTTCTGTGCTAACACTACTGGGGATTTCAAAGTGAAGCCTTGACTGGTGTATCACTCTGAAAATCCCAGTGTTCAAGAAACACAATGTTTTCAAGAGTAAATTTTGTGTGATGTGGAGGACTAACAATAATGCATGGGTCACAAGGCAAATTTTCAAAGAGTGTGTGTATGATGTCTTTGTCCCTAGTGTGAAAAAATACCTCCTGGAACATAAATTGCCACTCAAGTGCCTCCTGATAATATACAATGCTCCTGCTCATCCTCTAAACTTGGTAGACCTATTGTCTGTGGAATTCTGTTTCATCTCAGTGAAGTTCTTGCCTCCTAACACCACTCCTTTCATCCAGCCCATGGACCAGCAGGTCATTTCTAACTCCAAAAAACTGTACACCAAAGCAGTGTTTCAAAGGTGCTTTGAAGAGACCTCGCACACAGATTTGACCCTAAGAGAGTTCTGGAGGAATCACTTCAATATCCTCTACTGCATAAGCCTTATAGGTAAGGCTTGGGAGGAATTGACTTCCAGGACTTGGAACTCTGCTTGGAGAAAATTGTGGCCAAAATGTGTCCAAGAGGGATTCTGAAGGGTTTGGGGCTGACCTTGAGGACCCTATGCCTGTTGTGGAATTCACTGTATCTCTGGGCAAGTCCATGGGGTTGGAGGTTAGTGCTGAGGATGTGGAAGAGTTGGAGGAGGACCACAGGGAAGTGCTAGCCACTGAAGAGCAGCAAGAACTTCATCTGGAGCAGCAACAGACCACAGCTCAGGAACTTGCTTCAGAGGAAGAGGGAGTGAAGGAGGTGCCTTCTTCAGAGATTAAGGAGATCTGTGCAGTGTGGACTAGGGTGCAAGCTTTTGCTGAGAAATATCACCCTCACCAAGCTGAAACAAGCTACATCTGCAACAGGTTCAGTGACAGAACCTTGTCCCACTTCATGGAAATCTTAAAGAGACGCCAGAAACAGAGCACTCTGGACAGATATTGTGTGAGATAGGGGTCCAGTGACTCTCAAGCTGGACTTAGTGGCAATAAAAGACAAAGAAGGGAAGTAACTCCAGATGGAGCTTTAATACTTGAAGTCCTTATGGAGGGGGATTCCCCTTCCAAACGATAAACTCTCCTCCCTCTCTCCTTCTCCCGATCTTCCATAAGCCAACAACAGTCTTCAATCAAGGCATGTAATTCCGATTTAATTGTTCATGTTGGAGTGTGAGCAGGGTAATATTTAGTGAAGGGATTCAGGGAAACCGGTTATTTTCATATAGTCGGACTTGAGTCCTGGAAATGGGAAGTACAATGCCTGCACTTTAAAGGAGGGGTTTGGGATATTGGCAGTTTGGAGGGATATGTTGTGTATCTTTATACGTGGTATAAACCTTGGTAATAAATACCGACAAGTTGGTTTAGAAAGACACGTAAGCAAACACTATAACATATTTATTAGAAAACGTTTCGGTCCTGGGACCTTGATCACTTCTAACATACAGAGGTAGGAAGACATTATATATAGGCGGAGAGTGAGGTGTGACGCACGTGACCTGAGGAATGTCATAAGAACATAAGAATGGAGGAACACTGTAGAAGGCCTACTGGCCCATGCGAGGCAGGTCCTTATCATAGGCAGAGGTTGTTTTTGATAAGGACCTGCCTCGCATGGGCCAGTAGGCCTTCTACAGTGTTCCTCCATTCTTATGTTCTTATGACATTCCTCAGGTCACGTGCGTCACACCTCACTCTCCGCCTATTATGTCTTCCTACCTCTGTATGTTAGAAGTGATCAAGGTCCCAGGACCGAAACGTTTTCTAATAAATATGTTATAGTGTTTGCTTACGTGTCTTTCTAAACCATCTTTATACGTATATGCTTCTAAACTGTTGTATTCTGAGCACCTCTGCAAAAGCAGTGATAATGTGTGAGTGTGGTGAAAGTGTTGAATGATGATGAAAGTATTTTCTTTTTGGGGATTTTCTTTCTTTTTTGGGTCACCCTGCCTCGGTGGGAGACGGCCGACTTGTTGAAAAAAAGAAAGAAAAAAAAAATATATATATACACAATATATAAAAATATTTCTTCAGAGATGTCTTAAACAATCCCAGAGGAAGTCCACAAAGTATTAACAAGGTTTCAGTATACTAAACATTACCACTTATTTTTTTTTTATTTTAATCCTTTCACTGTCTCAGACTTATATTACTGATGTTAGAGTCACTCATGTAGAACTACATTTAAGCACAATGCACTCAGATGTTCTGTGACTGGTAAATTTTGGCCAGGACCTGAGAGAATGGGTATGTGTGGTGAGTGTGCACTACATAAAAAAAAAAAAACCTTGTGGAGTACATGATGGGAAAATGAAACCTCTGATTTTGTTTGGTTTAAAATAGCAAACTGAAAGGGTTTTCTAGGGTACTTTTTGTTTGTTTATTGGCTGCTTCTTTGTATCAACTGATATAATGGAAGATATACTAGTTAAGTAGAGATGATCTGGGTTAATTTCAGGACCAGAAATTGCTAGAAATAGGGCTCAAAGAAGTGGAAATATTAGAACTTTGGTGAAGTTTCCAGAGGAAGGATAAGTTTCCCTACAACACAATGTCTGGTTTATAGGTTTTACTAAGTCTATTTCAATTTTGGGGACAGCAAAAACTATGATTAATTATTCTTAGTTATATGAGAAATAGGTTAAAACTTTGATTTTTTGTGTGTGATGACCAATTCAAAATGGATGGTAAGTGTAATATAGGAGAGGCCTTGGGATGTGATTAATGAACAGACTATAGGTAGCTTTAGTGGCTAGAATGCATACAATGTTTATTTTGGACTCATTTAAAACTGGTGTGTGTTAATTTTTTTGTAAAATTGGGCAAATTAGTGACTTCTGGGCAATTTATATGGTAGTTCTGATAGTTGAATGGCACTTTCTTGCACTCAATAAAATGGAAGGCATTCTAGTGAAATATCAAGTAATGGTCAATCTGCTCAATGCCTTAAAATAGGACTCACAGAAAGCAAAATCTCTGATGTGTGAATTGCGTCCAGACTGGTATCTTTGTGCCTGCATTAATACCATAAGTTTTCCATCAGATTTCGCATCTTTTGTGTCACTGCCCTCGGAAAAAGATACTCTGTCACTTCAATTTTTTTTTTTTTTTACAAATTCCTACACTGTCAGCACCTAATTTTGGGGGTCGTAACAGTGAAAGGGTTAGCACTAGTACAAATTTTTGTTATATCCCACAAAGTACATTTCTACTGACCCACTTCAATACTAGCATCCTAGATTGAAGAAAATGGAAAAGTATTATAGGAAAAGAAGGTTCAGGATATAACAATTAAGTTGATAACTGTCACAATATCCAATAAGAAATGGCTAAGTACAAAAATTGATCTAACCACACACCATCACAGGATGGCAAAGCTCCATTGCAATTGGCCAGATCTCGGACTTCTTGTATAAGTTCCTTCCCTCCCGCTTTACTTAAGGCTAGTCCCACCTCTCCCAGGAAGTCCAAGTTGGAGTTGGTGGGATGGACAACAGCATCTGCTGTTACTGTTGATATGTCTGACTGAACCACCGTCAACTGTAAATATGGCACTCTTCAAGTATTACACCAAATAAATTGTTAAATGTACAAATATACATATGTAGTGTATGATATTAAATAACTTTTTTCAAGATTATTGTATATATCAGATACTCAATGATCTATTTGAATATTACTGCTAGTATCATGTACTGAAAGATTTACCACTTATATATTTCAAGATTACTGTATACAATATCATGTACTGTATTACTATACTGCATCTATTGAAAGATCTATTGGAAGATGACTAGAAACTCCATCTACAGTGAGAGAGAGGGAGAAAAAGCCTGTAAAAATATTTCAAACAATGCAACCACATGGATAAGCCATAGTAGTAATACTCGTACCTTTTGTCCAAGGAAGAGTTTCTTTTCTGAGAGTATGGTAAAGGTCCCGGACGGCGGTTGAACAGGGCTCATGTCTTTTCCCTTGGCTCTTAGCTTCAGTGGTGAGGCTGAACCTAGCACAATGCAAATTAAGAAAGATGGTTAATATATATATATATAGATATATACAACTGATCTCAAAAGTTTATATTTGGCTTTACAGAGCACATGCAAGTGAAAATAATGCACATCAGTTTACATATCCCTTAGATTATATACACAAGGCAAGTCTTAAAAAGACACAAAATGAAAATCAATTATACAAGAGAGATAATATAAAGCACCTAGGTAATAGGTTGTAGACAGTAACCGCCCAGGGAGGTACTACCGTCCTGCCAAGTGAGTGTAAAACGAAAGCCTGTAATTGTTTTACATGATGGTAGGATTGCTGGTGTTCTTTTTTCTGTCTCATAAACATGCAAGATTTCAGGTATGTCTTGCTACTTCTACTTACACTTAGGTCACACTACACATACATGCAAAAGCATATATATACTACACACACCTCTCTGGGTTTTCTGCTATTTTCTTTCTAGTTCTTGTTCTTGTTTATTTCCTCTTATCTCCATGGAGAAGTTAAGCAGAATTCTTCCTCCGTAAGCCATGCATGTTGTAAGAGGCAACTAAAATGCCAGGAGCAAGGGGCTAGTAACCCCTTCTCCTGTATAAATTACTAAATTTAAAAAGAGAAACTTTTGTGTTTCTTTTTTGGGCCACCCTGCCTCGGTGGAATATGGTCGGTTTGTTGAAAGAAAAAATATAAAGTAATAGTGTATACTGGAGAGCTCTGCTTATACAACAGGTTAGAGTCTGGGCTACTGCTGTAAAGTGAAACATAGCATTTTTTCACTATGAAATGCATATAAAAGCCTGATAACATGTTTACACTATCATATATTTATTAAGTGACTAATAGAGCCAGGCCTAAAAAATGCATATACAATACACACATTACTTACCTTAAAATATTTTCATCCTTATCTTACAGTGAGTGGTGAATATATTTATTGAATAAATGAAGAATGGGCATCAGTAAAAATTGCTGAATTAGCAAAATGCTGTAAAGTGGGGCCCACTTGTAAAGACTAAAATGTAGCATACTGGAGCATAATCAACACTGCTCGTTTAGAACTAAATTAAATGACAGCTGGAACATAAGGGAAAATATGTACTGTAAATTTTTAAAAAATCTGAGGGGTTATAAGCTTAATTAGCAGTGGTCTCCCTTCAAATCTGTAGGGAATACATTTCAAGAGGTCTCAGCAAATTTGGAAACCAAGAGTACCCCTAAATTTTGTATGCTTAAATTATTTTTTTCCTTTGCATCACAAAAAATTAATGTGAATTTCAATTTTTCCATTTGCATCATAAAAAGTTTTGAAATTCACATTACTGAATTTCAAAACTTATGTGTGGGACACTTGTAATAAAGAATCAGATAACTTGCAGAATACATGAATTTAGATCTCACAAATTGCAGGATTATTATTCAATATATGTATACAGTAGGGCCCCACTTATACGGCGGGTTAGGTTCCAGGCTATTGCCGGAAAGCAGACATCGTCGGAAGGCAGAACACCATTTTTTTTCCATTTATAAATGCATACAAATGTCAGACAACAAGTTTACACTAAATTATATTAAGTTAATATTAGAACTAGGCATTAAAGACACAGTAAAAAGTAAAATACACACACACAGTACATTCATTACTTACCCTAACGTATTTGTAATCTTAATGTAGGGTGAGAGGTGAGTAGTACTTACTTGTAGGAAGTTGGGTGTAGCTAGCCCAGGTGTTGGTAGCCCTGGCTTCCCATCTCATACTTAATATACGATATTTAAAACAGCCCAGAGAGTTAAAATACACATACAGTACACTCATTATTTACCTTAAAATATGTGTAGTCTTAATGTAGGAAGAGAGGTGAGTAGTATTTATTTGTAGGAAGTCAGTGTAGGTAGCCGGTAGGTGTAGCCCGCCTGGGCTACACCTACCCGTCACCTACACTGTGGCCCAAAGCCATATTATTAGCATCGACATACCTTGTTCACTGAATTTAATCATTTTGAACAACTACCTTTAGATGCCATCATAAACGAAGAGAGAAGTAATGAATAATTCATGCCAAAAATTGTAAACCAAAGTGGAGTGGGGGAGTGGCTCGCCCAAACGCAGATTCATACACATTTTCTCTGATGGCTGAGCAGAGAAAACGTAATGTTATCCCTCCGCCCAGCTACCACACAGGTCCAAAAGTATTATTATCAGAACACACAAAATATGCAATAAATGCCAGACAACAAGTTTACACTAGCTTATATTAAGTTAGCAATAGAAATAGGCATTAAAAAACACAATAAAAAGTAAGATACACACAGAGTACACTTATTACTTACCTTAAAATATTAATATTGTGTGAGAGGTGAGTAGCAGGGTGTTTACTGAATAAAATCAGATGGTACACCATCATCTGATTCTTCAACTTTTATTCATTTTGAAGACTTGTGTGAAGCTCTTGAAAGAGTGTGTGTTGCTGTTGATGTTGAAGACTGTTCAAGGCTAGCTGTTGATGTTAAAGGCTGTTCAAGACCACATGTTGATGCTGAAGGTTGTTCAAGACTAGCTGTTGATGTTGAAGGTTGTTCAAGGCTAACTGTTGATGTTGAAGGTTTGCATGATACTTCAGTAAAGTAGGAAAGCAATGAACTTTGCCTCAGGGATTTTTTTTTCCTTTCCCTTAAAATTTCTTTATAGCATGTAACATCATGGGAAAGGGATGCATTCACTTTTGAACTTCATTCAAAATTTGGATAATTTTTCTCAAAAATTATCATTGCTATTTCTATATAGTTAATAGCTTCTTCCAAATCCTGGGTTTTCATTTCTTTAATGGCAACAGGACTATCATCAGGATGGATCCCCTCTTCATGAAACTTCTTTCTTTGCTCTTCAATGAGAAGAAGATCTTCATCTGTTAGAGGCTCATCATGAGAAAGAAGCAATTCTTTCACATCCTCAGGCTCCACTTCCAATTCTAAGTCCCTTGCCATATCCACAACATTTACAGTCACTTCATCCACTCGATTCTCAAAGCCTTCAAAATCGTCCATAAGTTCAGGAATTAGATTTTTCCAAACACCTTTGAGTGTAGTTTCTTTAACTTCATTCCATGCATCTCTAATATTTTTAATACCATCCAAAATAGTGAAACCTTTCCAAAAGGTTTTTAATTTATTTTGTTTAGGTCCTGGCATTTTTTCATTCTCTAGGAAATTTACAGCCTTAATGAAAGATCTCCTTAGGTAATAAGATTTAAAGGCTGCAATTACACCTTGGTCTATTGGCTGCAGTAATGAAGTTGTGTTTGCAGGTATAAAAGCAACATTTATCTCCTTGTACATACCATTTAGAGCTGTAGGGTGGGCAGGGGCATTGTCTAAAACAAGTAAAACATTAAAAGGAATTTTCTTTTCCTTGCAGTAAGCCTCAACTGTAGGCTTAAAATAGTCAGTGAACCAATTTATGAAAAGATCGGCAGTCATCCAAGCTCTTGAATTGGATTTATAATAAACAGGGAGGCTGCCTTTTGCATAGCTCTTTAGGGCCCTAGGATTCTCTGAGTGATAAATCATCATAGGTTTTAACTTGCAATCACCAGCTGCATTAGCTCCTAGCAAGAGTGTTAACCTGTCTTTTGCAGCTTTGAAGCCAGGCATCGACTTCTCTTCTTTAGCAATAAATGTCCTAGATGGCATCTTCTTCCAAAATAATGCAGTTTCATCCACATTAAAAATCTGTTGCTTGGTATATCCGTCACATTCTATTATCTCGGCTAGCTCATGTGGATAATTTTCTGCAGCTAAATTGTCGGCGTTTGCAGCTTCACCCTGCACTCTGATGTTGTGAAGTTGACCTCTTTCCTTAAACCTATTAAACCAGCCTCTGCTAGCTGTGAATTTATCTTCAGCAGCTTCCTCACCTCTCTCAGCCTTCACTGAATTGAAGAGACTTAGGGCCTTGGACTGGATAACGGCTCGGCTTAAAGGCACATTGTGACTAGTCTGATCGTAAATCCACACCATTAAAAGTTTTTCCATGTCAGCAATAAGGTTATCACGTTTTCTTATAACTTTAGTGTAGCACTTTTAATTTCCCGCAACACTTTCACCTTATTGTTCACAACTGTACTAACTGTTTGATGAGCCAAACCAAGCTTACATGCTATCTCAGTCATAGACATACCATGTTCACTCAGTTTAATCATTTCTAACTTGGCACTTAAAGCAAGAGGCTTACGACTCCTCTTTTTATCACACCTAAGCTTAGATGCCATTGTCAATGAGAGCCAACTAGTTAACGAAAGAGTAAATGAGAGAACGAGGTACAGAGTTCAGACAATGTAAGAACACAAACTGAACAGGTAGTGGGCGATCACTTGGTCAGGCGAAATAAATGCGTATTAATATGTGTCTATTTTAGTTCATTCATGTACGTTTGTAAGAGTTTGTAAAACTTTTACCTCACAATATTTTTTTATTATAATAATAATTACCTCACAATACAAATACAGTGGACCCCCGCTTTACGATCAGCTCCCAATGCAACCAATTATGTAAGTGTATTTATGTAAGTGCGTTTGTACGTGTATGTTTGGGGGTCTGAAATGGACTAATCTAATTCACAATATTCCTTATGGGAACAAATTCGTTCAGTACTGGCACCTGAACATACTTCTGGAATGAAATAATATCATAAACCGGGGGTCCACTGTACTCTTACATTGTGTACAAGTTGTACAAGTTAGTACAGAATAAACAAACAGCAACATTCCCATTCTCATGCAACACATAATTTTTAGAGTGAATGATATTATTATTATTATTGTCATAATAAAAAAGAAGTGCTGAACCCACAAGGGTCGTGAATTTCTATATATAGAGTGAAGGCATACGAAAGGAATATTTTTCTAGTTATCCCCCAGTTTGACTAGAGAAAACGTAATTCTTCCGACACTATACACAGCCGCTTTGTAAACAAATCTCATATTTACGTCAATTTTTATTCTGTGA